GAGTCTGTACTTAAAAAAAATTTTTTTTAATGTTTATTTACTTTTGAGAGACAGAGACAGAGCGCGAGCAGGGGAGGGGCAGAGAGAGAGAGACACAGAATCCGAAGCAGGCTCCAGGCTCCGAGCTGTCGGCATGGAGCCCGACACAGGGCTCGAACTCACGAACCGTGAGAACATGACCTGAGCCCGAAGTCAGTTGCTTAACTGACTGAGCCACCCAGGCGTCTCAGTCTGTATTTTTGATGTAGACCCTCTCCACTGACTGGCAGGATGTCACTGGATGCCCTGTGAGCTCTTCACACTCTGTCCCAAATGGAATTAGTTCTTCATCCCAAACTGCCTCATTGTTTTCTTTACCTCAGTGACTAGAACCGCCAAGACAGAAACCCGAGCCATCCCAGACTTTTCCTCACCTGCCCCCAAGTCGCTGAGCCGCAGAACTTTCTACCCTCAATATCTCAAGCGTGTCCCCTTTTCTTCCAGCTGCCACAGCCTCAGTTCTAAAATTCAAAGAGCACAAGTGCACCATCCAGGGTCACACATTCTCAAGCAGAGCCGGGACTGGAAGCTAACCCCCTGCTCCAGCATGGAATAAGCTGGAATCTTGCTGAGGGCTGTCGGCGGCTCCAGATTCTTTGCTGTGCTCCGGATATATTGTGCTTTACCCATATTGCGAATACGGTTGTAGAGGCCGACTTCCGCAGGGTGAAGCGGCCCAGAGTGGGCAGCTGGGGAGTCAGAATATTCGGGTTTCGCACCCACATCCGCCACTGAAAGCGGACTTGGTGAAGGTGGTTAATTTCTCTGTGCTGTTTCCCCGCGTCCATGACAGGAATGCTATTCCTTCACTCTTCCGAAATCCCCGAAGCCTCGGAAACTGGCAGGTGTGCGTGGGTTTTAAATAATGTTTGGCAGCTCGACCCGAGCTGACTGTAAGGATTTGATGCCGAAGGCCGATCTGAACGGACCTGAGGGTATTTATGGTCTCTACTTCTCCCACCAAGAATACTATTGACAACTGTCTGTGAAGAGAGGCTGCTGGCCTGGCCCGCTGGGACAAGTTCTACGACATGTTGTACTTTGCCAAAGTACAGCAATGTCTGTGTTCTTCGACACACCTGATGGAAGGGTGTTGGAAAACAGGCCGGGCAGCTGAAACGGCTACTTCACGGGTCTGTCACATAGGTTAATTGCTATAGAAATGAGCATTCGTAAAGCAGTTAGAAAAGCGCGTGCCCGGAGTAAGCCCTGTAGAAGCGTTTGATAAACGCTTCACGTAATGGCTAACCCTATGAATGAAGTGAAAGATTAACTCTTTTTTTTTTAACATCTATTCACATTTGAGAGACAGAACGCAAGCGGGGGAGGGGCAGAGAGAGAGGAAAACACAGAATGTGAAGCAGGCTCCAGGTTCCGAGCTGTCAGCACAGAGCCCGACGCGGGGCTTGAACCCACGAACCGAGAGATCATGACCTGAGCCGAAGTCGGACACTTAACCGACTGAGCCACCCAGGCGCCCTGAAAGATAAGCTATTTTATGTCAGAAGAGAGTTTGAGGAATTCGGGGGCTTCCGTCAAAGCGGGGTTCCTACCATGGCTCTTCTGTTGGAAAGAAATTAAGTATCAGAGAGACCGAAAAACGCCTTTTGAATGGCAGTCCTGTCCTCACCGTGCTCAGAACCAACCAGTTTTGAAACTGGTGTGGATCACGTCCACGCAGGCTTCTTGGTTTTAGTACATACATGTGCCTCCAGAGTACGTAGGTTTTTTAGAACCAAGGATGATCCAGCCCCGAATGTCAACAGTGCGGAGGCTGAGAAGCCCGGCCCTTCCCCTTTTGTCCCCACTCTTCCTCCCCTTCTTCCTCCCCCTCCCTTCCTTCCCCTGGCCTGCCGGCTCTTGCAGGGCCTACAGTGCACGAGGGGCAGTTACCGTCACCACACACCGCACACCAAACTTTGCTGAACAGACCCACCAACAGATCGTGGGTCCCTCCCAGACCCCAAGGCAAAGCGTCCATTGGAAGAGCCGCCGGGGAGCCCTCTCTCCGCATTTGAGAGGTTTCGCACCCGGGACTTCCTGGGGCACTCGCAGTTTTTGAAGGCAGGGAATACACGTCGACGCTTCCCGAGCATTTAGCGTGTGGCCTGCACTCTGTTGGACAGGCACGAACTCCAACGTGGTCTTCGCACGGACCCGGGGGGTGGGGGGGGAGGTGGGCATCACCAATACTCACGCGTGTGACAAAGTGACTCGCCCGCACCGGCGGTAGCGTTCACAAAGCCAGCGGGGCCCGGCCCGCTCCGCGGCTCCTCTGGGGGAAGCCATCGAGACCTTTGCAGAGAGAACAGTTCACTCCCCGAGAGCTAAGCTGCTCCATTCCAGGCTCGCTTTGTATTTGTGCCCGAGCCACACTTCCTGTCTCTTTAGGATTTGAAATTTTAGTCATGTGCCACCTCAGGGGAAGTTAATTCTGATTTTTGTTGGCGGGACCCAAGCACAAATCACAACTCCAGAAATACAAGGAGAGCCTGGAACAATAGGCAGCTGGGCTGAGGAAAGTAACGCACTGCTCTCGGCGCAGGGGCTGAACCGTGGAGCTAAGTGTTCTTCGGGACAGACCTGTCGATACTAAATCTTTTCCCCCAACCTCTGATGGATGTGCTCATCTTCTCAGGTCAACATGGGCTCACCCAGGCAACGCGCTGTAATAACTTATTGAAAAGGCAGCTGGCGTTTATAAACAGACTGTTCCGTCAATTTTTAGATTTTCATCCTCAGAAATGTATTCTCTTCTCAAAGCAGTATTTGCTATACGTAGTAAGAACTCAATGACACCTCTTCTGCAACACAGGATCTGCAGAGGTGAGCCGGTTTGGGGATTATTGTTCTTTGCTGTCAATTCTGGGTGACATTCAAGCTCTGTAGAGATGACGAGATAAGCAGAGGTCAGAGAGGTATTCTCATTCCATTAGAGCAGGGGTCGCCAAACTACCGGCCACAGGCCAAATCTGGCCCGAGGCCCGTTTTTATAAATGAGGTTTTATTGGAACACACCTACACCCATTTGTTTACTTACCGTCTATAGCTGCTCTCATGCTGCAAGGGCACAACCGAGCAGTTGCCAAGCAGTGGCCTGCAAAGCCGGAAGCGTTAACTCTCTGGTCCTTTACGGAACACGCCCGCTGACCTCCACGTTGGCCAGAAGCGCGATCTGTCCCGCTGGATCATTTTCAGTGGGGGCTAACGGGAACTCGAGCAGGGGAGGACGTCTGACCCATTTAAGGCATCTGTGTTGAAGTTCAGTTGGGTTAAGGAGAGAAGGACAGAAGAAAATAGAAAAAGGCAAAAAAAAAAAAAAAAAAACCCCAACCAAACCAAAAACCAAAAAACACTAGGCAGTGGCAAAAAGAGGACTTTAATGAACCGAATATTAACCTCAAAACCAAGTATAATCTACATGAAATCATCACTTTAGGCCAAAAGAAAATCTTTCATGTTGGCGACGGTATCCGTCTCGCCGACCTCAAGCGGCCGACGAGTTACCCCTGTGGTGGGCCCCCTGGGACTTTGGTGAACATGCCTTTTTCTCGGGCTGAGAGACATTTCCCTGAGAAGATGCGCGGGAGGGGAAGGGGGTGATGGCTGGGCACACTGCGTCCCGGGCTCAGAACTTGAGCGGAATGACCGGCCAGTATTTGGGCTGCTTCCTGTCACAGTGCTTGTCGAAGCTCAGCTGCACGGCGGCCTCCATGGCCTGGATCTTGGCGGCGCTGTCCCCGTACAGGCGCTTCATCTCGGCCTGGCGCCGCTCGCCGGGCCTCTCGGAGGGGGGCTCCACCGAGCGCCGGGTGCCGTAGTACAGGCCATGGTCCGCGTTCACGTAGTCGTCCAGGCGCTGGGCGTCCAGCTGCTGCTGCCGCCCTGAGAAGGAAGGGACACGGGGGACCGGGGTGAGCTCGGGGACGCCCCGCGGCCTGCGCCCGCCAAGCCATCCATAGGCCGAGGTGGCGCCCGCACACCGTCACCCCCGTGGTTAGGGGAACGCATCGGTCGCTCGCCCGCTCGCCCGGGAGGCAGATGCTGCCGGAAACGGCAAAAAGCCGCCGGGAAACATGTCACCCGACACCATCAAACCTCTGCACGGAGCCCGGAAGATCCAGCTCGCTCTCTCGCTCTCTCTCTCTCTCTGTCACGTTCGAGGCCTGCCCACATCCCGGCCAGCTAGGACCGGCTGATGCAGCTTGCCTGGTTTCCCACTCCCCCAGGCCAGCAGGGAAGTGAAGTGCTTTCTGGCAAGTCCAGGGCTGCAAGAAGTAGTACTTCCGCCCACAAAGGAGGCGCTGGGGGAAAAAGTACGGATTTTAGGCAAACCGCAAAAGAGCAAGTGCTGGTAACCACAGAATCGCAGCGACGATCCGCGATCCTTCACACCCGTCCGAAGCACAGGGCACACCAGGCAATGAAGTCAAACGACTCAGCGCTTGCTCGAGGCAACCAGGCCAATCAAGGGCAATTCTGCCAACGGAAGGGAGACCTGACGTCTAACCTTCCTGCTGTATTCACAGATGTGCAACAGCGCAGGGACCGCCTCGGTATGGGATTTGACTTTCCACTTCACAGGTGAGTTTAGGCTAAATTTCAAGTGATAAAGGGATCTGCTTTTAACCCTACTGTTTCTTTCTTTTCTTTCTCTCTCTCTCCCTCCCACCTCTCCTACCTTCCTTTCTTTTAAGACCAAGAGTGCGCTCGCAACAAGAGAGCATGAGTCGGGAGTGGGGAAGGCAGAGAGAGAGGGAGAGAGAATCCCAAGCAGGCTCTGCATGGACAGTGCAGAGCAGGATGCGGGACTCGAACTCATGAACCATGAGACCATGACCTGAGCGGAAATCAGGAGCCAGATGTTTCACTGACTGTGCCACCCAGGTGCCCCTGGTCCTACTAATTTAACTGGATTCTTGTAAAGTAAGAAATTAAATTATACTCTCCCCTCTATTTTTACTAAAATGAGTCCTAATATCAGAACGGTTATTCTTATGTAAACAGAAATAATAAAAACACATCAATGAAACAATGATGCATATGGTAACATTTGGCCCACTGACACATTTTTGTAAGCAACTGTCGAGAACAGAGAAACAGACAGTAGAAGGCACCCACCTGTAGCTACTACTGCTACCAAGACAAATGCTACTGAATAAGGAGTGAAGATAGTTGTAGGGGATAAATGATATAAATCATTCTTTCCTTGTTAAAAAAAAAAAGTAGCAGAATAAAACCTTAGTATATAGGAGGGAACCCAAAAGTGAGCAGCAAGATATATCTGTGGCTAGGCAGTCACACTCCTAAGCCCGTTCTTCATAAACATCACCCTGGAGCTGGGGAGAAGGAGTTCTGGAAACTTGGAAACACCATAAAATGCAGACAGTCACTTCTGACGTAGCACATCTGCGGTTTCTTTTTTTTTTTAAACGTTTATTTATTTTTGAGACAGAGACACAGCATGAACAGGGGAAGGGCAGAGAGAGAGGTAGACACAGAATCTGAAATGGGCTCCAGGCTCTGAGCTGTCAGCACAGAGCCCGACGTGGGGCTCGAACTCACAGACCGTGAGATCATGACCTGAGCTGAAGTCGGACACTTAACCGACTGAGCCACCCAGGCGCCCCTCTGCAGTTTATTTCTTATACGAGGAGGTAATCTACGTAGATGCCAGATGACCCTCAAGGAAGTAAATGCAACGTAAGTAACTGTTACCTTATCCACAGAAAAGAGATGCCATTGTCTTACTGTGAAGTGCAGAACTAAACCGAAATATTGGCATAATGTGCACATGAGTGGGAGGTCAGTAAGCATTTGCTTCTCAGTTTTGGTCTTTCTGTCAAGTCTGAAACATTAGGATGTAAGTGTTCAGCTCTCACGGGTGTTTAGTCCTGCCCTCCAAGGACTGCGCTTCTGAACATGTGGCATTTCCACATTAGCCAAGGACAACAGATTCCCTCTGCTACCTATGGGAGCCTTGGGTGAGTTACCAATCCTTGAGCTTGTTTCGTTGTAGGCCCAGAGCAAACAATCCCGTGGGGGGGGGGGTGCTGTGGGGGCCCCAGAGCCTGTGCATCTAGAGGACAGAGATTCCCAGGCCACAGTCCTTTTATTTTCTGATTTGTCCCAGGACTGTAATCAGCTTTCCTGACAGATCTAGTGACACAACAGATGTTCAACTTCCTGTCTAAATCAGAGTCTTTGCGTTTAGAATTTTTTTAAATGTTTTTATTTATGTTTGAGAGGGAGAGGGCACAAGTGAGGGAGGGGCAGAGGCAGAGGATCTGAAGCGGGCTTTGCACTGACAGCACGGAGCCCAACGTGGGGCTCAAACTCACGAACCGTGAGATCATGACCTGAGCTGAAGTTGGACGCTTAACCGAGCCACCCAGGCGCCCCACATTTATAAGTTTTTTTTTTTTTTTTTTTAGCGTTTACTTATTTTTGAGAGAGAGAAAGAGACAGCGTGCGAATGGGGGAGGGGCAGAGAGAGGAGGAGACACAGAATCCAAAGCAGGCTGCAGGCTCTGAGCTGTCAGCAGAGAGCCCGATGTGGGGCTCGAGCCCACAAACCATGAGATCATGACCTGAGCCGAAGTCGGAGGCTCAACCGACTGAGCCACCCAGGCGCCCCCCGCATTTAATCAACATTTAATCATTTAATTAACACCAGGATCCTCGCTCTCTTAGCAAGCGTTGCTTTCTGCCGCTAGGACATGTGAATTTCACCTTCCTACTTTTGCATCTTTCTCTTTTCCTTACAACTGAACGTGGTTCCAATTATGGTCCTTTGTGCTTCTCTTCTGACCAAAACTATCTTACAGATAGTAAATCAGCAGAACAATTCTTTTTTTTTTTTTTTTTTTTTTTTTTTTTTTCAACGTTTATTCACTTTTGCGACAGAGAGAGACAGAGCATGAACAGGGGAGGGGCAGAGAGAGAGGGAGACACAGAATCGGAAACAGGCTCCAGGCTCCGAGCCATCAGCCCAGAGCCCGACGCAGGGCTCGAACTCACGGACCGCGAGATCGTGACCTGGCTGAAGTCGGACGCCCAACCGACTGCGCCACCCAGGCGCCCCAATCAGCAGAACAATTCTACATCGAGATGTTTTCTCTTATCGTTGACATCTGTAGATGAAACACTGTTAATCCGAACTGACCGCAGCCACCAAATCAACATAGCCAGTGCAAGTTCCCCAGTTCACACTTGGCATGTGCTCATGGGTCACCATCACAGGGTTTCAGTTAATGAAGCTCATACAGTGTAAAAGAATAAAAAGCACAGCCATTCTCAATTCTCTACGTGTACCTCTTTCCCGTTCAGGTTTCCTTATGAAAATTTGAGGCTCAGGCCTTGTCGCCTCTCTGCCTCACAAGAAGCTCAGAGCTTTCCCGGCTTCCGGCACGGCGGGCAGTTGCCCTACAACATAGACCCAAGGGGTGGGAAGCCTGTCCCCTCCACTGACCGGCTAGTGCCAAAACCTGCCCGTGGGAGTCGCGTCTGGGGAAAGGACACTGTCGCCTTCACACACATCCCCATTCCTAGCCCCGGGAGGACACAACGCCTGACACAAGGTAGGTGCTCAGGAAATGACTGCTGAGAGAAAGCCTGGACACAGGCCATACAGTATTTTTTGTTAACAGCTATTTCTTCCAGATTCTGTTAAAGAAAAATGATGACAACCCAGGGACAGAGAAACGGATGCTCAAATCTCAGCTGGACAGAGCCCCTCTCCCGGAGGTTCCTCAGAGTCTCCATGGCAGAGGCGGGGGGGAGACAGGGGCACCAATGAGTTGGGGTCTGATCTTGTTCCTTTACATCTGAGTCCCTGTGCCTCTACTTAGTTAAATGATTACAAAAAAAAAAAAAAAAAAAAGTCCTAAGTCTAGACTACCAATGTGAAAATCAGTCCGCTTAAAACCAAATGCACCGAGAGGGGCCAGACACTGGAAGCCCCAGCTAGCATCTGCAAGTACTTTAGTGTTCACGGACTTCGGGGGCCGAGCAAACCTTAGAATGGAATATACGCGTCTGAAGGCATCGCTCATTCTGTTTTTATTTATTGCTTCCTTCCTCCCTATGAAAGAAAGGATTCTCAGTCACTAGCAGTTTTTCTTCCTGTCAAAACAAGGTGAGGGCTCAACCAGATGGAGAATCATCTGACGGAAGCAGAACATCACACTTCAGACATAACTGAACAGGTGCCTTGTCGTGGAGAAGTTAGTCATTTTTTTCCTAGAAACAGCTGTGAGACTGCATGTTACCCAGTGCTTTTTCCTTATAGGCTGTTCAGCCATGGGAATTTGTTTGAATAGAAATCAGAGTATCTGTCTAGATTCCAGCTTTAAAACAGGGTTATAGTGGGCTAAACAGCATCCCCTCCAAATTCACACCTACAAGGAACCTGAGAATATGACCTTCTTTGGAAATAGGGTCTTTGCAGATATAATTGAGGCTCAAGATGGGATCGTACTGGATTAGCGCGGACCCTAAACCCAATGAAAGTGTCCTTATGAGAGACAGAAAAGGACACACAGAGACATGGGGGAAACCATGTAAACATGGAGGTAGTTGAACTATGCTCCCACAAGCCAGTGAATGCCAGGAGCTACCAGAGCTGGAAGAAGCAAAGTCCCAGAAACTTCTGGAGGGAGTGTGGTTCTGCTAACGCCTTGGTTTCAGACTTCTAGCTTCCAGAACTGTGAGAATAAATTTCTGTTGCTTTAAGCCACCCAATGTATGGTAACTGGTTACAGCAGTCCCAGTAAACGAATATCACGGTTAATACAGAGGGTTCAAACAAGAAAAACGGTAACATCCTGTTAAGGAGAAACGCTACTGGATCCCATCTGGGTTCAGGATATCAATCTGTAAATCCGCATGATGTAAATTCGTCCCCCTCAATCTGTAAATTCGCATGAGGTTAGCCAATGTGGACTTAGTCTACAAAGGAAAACAAAATCATGAGAAGGGACTTAGATTTTAGAAGACCGGACACAGGAAAACATCCATTCGGTATTCCACAGATAATTAGCCCAAAGGCAGAACATTTTGGAGGGCAAAGCACTAAGACGAGTGTGGGAGAATGTTATTTTTCCTCAGTTTTCTGGGATAAGCAAGGCTTTCTGGTTGTACTCTCTGCTATGCTGCCAGAATTAATGATTTTAGCACAAGTGCACGAAAGCACAGACTTGATTTATGTCATGAATGACTCATTTCTGGCTTGTCAGCAACACGCCCGGAACACAGGTGCTTGCCAGCAGACCTGGAGCCGTTTCTGATGGGTCTGCACCCTCGCCTCACATCCCTCTCTCCATGACAAATGAAGTCAGTGAATGATTACCATTTTCACTTTTAGGATAAAAGTGCATTTCCGTCCCTCCCTTCTACTTTTCTGCGGTACAGTGCTTAGTCGGTGTGGTTCCACACTTTAATCTCATCCACTAAAGCACAGCAGCTCGCTAAATCCTGGGCTGTACGTTTCGCCATACGCTCCCGGTTTTCCACAGAAGGGTCGACTGAGGGCGACCGGGATGGGGTTCCAGCTGACTGAAGGTTCGGGACGAAAACTGGCGTCTGAACCTTCCAGCTTCGGTGGGCCCAACACGGAGCAGAGGTCTCCCGGCAGGTGTCTAAAAGCACCTGGCATGCTAAGAGGGGAGTGGATGTACCCCCCTTTCTTCCTCTCACCATCCCAGCTGACCCCATCCCTCAAAGCCTAGCGCACGCTCTATTTTCCACCACTTCCCCCGAAGCTTCTCCTCTGACAGCTGACTTCACTGGCTCTACCCCATCACTGCCAAAGTGCCTGTGGACCACACACAGACAGCTCTTCTAGGAATCAGCTTTAGTTTGATTTCGTCTCCTCTTCTCAACTGAGTGTAAGCTCCTTCTGAACGTGTCTCAGTTTGGACCCAGCAGCTACCCAGAAAACACAGGGGATAAGAGCTGGTAGGCTCAAGCCCGAGACAACAGTGTTTGTGTCAGAGGGCCGTCTCCCCCCACTGGGAATAACATTCCCGCATTCTCCTTCAAAGTATTAGGACTATAGCCTTGCAGTCTCAATTGGTAGTTATTTATGACTTCAACGGGATACTTTTCTTAACCTAACAATAAGCATTTTTTTCCTAAGAAATAATTGGAAACACAGCTGACCTTCCAAACTCCACAACTGTCTACTTTCCCATAAGCATTGTTATCATTGAAGTTTTGAATAACGGAAGTATCTCGTTAGGAAATGACATCTAACAATCAAAAGTATGTCTGTTCCCACTGCACAGTTCTTTATTTATCCTAATTTTTTGGTTACCATTAAAATATGTTAGAGATTATGTGGAAGAGCAGTCATCACAAACAAGAACATGCTCTCCAGTACGAAGGATTTTATTCTAAGAAAATATTAAATAAGACTCAGATGACGATGATGAATGATAGAACATACATGTTCTCGTGGAGGTGAATACTACTGAAAAACAAAGTCTTTCAAGTTTACCTATGCTTTTTCCTGCTAGTGCTATTTCATAAAATTCTGTTCTCTCTAGATGATCCATATTCAAAGCTGAATTAGCCTTTATTGAACGAGTAGCTTCTAGTGGTTCAAAAGAGCAAAGCAAAACAACTGTAACCAAGCATTCACACTACTCAGGTCCCTAATCGCTGTTAAAACACATCCCAACCGTGTATGTAACTAAACTTCCACGAACATTTCTAGTGGAGGGAGGTAATGGGTTGGAAAGCACTGTGGGCATTGACATTACTTACATCTGAATTCAATCCTTTGTTACTGCTTGAAGGAACACGTGTTCATCCTACACGCCACCAGAAGCGCTGGCGAAAAGACTCATGCCCGATACTTGCGCTGGTGCAGGGTCGGGCCCCGGCAGCTTCTAAATCTTTAGTAGTCAGATTAGACTCTGACACTGCAGCGTGTTCCCGCCCATGCCAGACAATCTCCAGGTCTTCCGAAGACCTGATAATATCTTCAGGGCACCCCGGAGGGCATAAAAGCATGGCAGAGACGCTATGGCAAGTAGTTTTCAATCATGCTACAGCTACACATGTAAAAAGCACAAAGCAGCAGCTCCGTGTGTTCAGCGTTGTTATTAGTAATACGGAAGTGCATTCCTTTTTCCTCGTATTTTACTATAGTAAGTTACATCAAGCAAGAATGTCCTTGAAATGCACTAAAAGTTGTATTAATGCCTACTTTGATGAAAACGGTATGAACGACTAGACTGGACAGACATCAAGACTTGAATTCTTTTGCTTTTTAAATATTCTAAACCAATTTAAGAATTTTGAAAAGTGCAGGGTAGAAATATGACTTTTGAAGCCACAAAACATCTTTTATTAAAAATATGCAGAATCTTGGGGCACCTGGGTGGCTCAGTCGGTTAAGCGGCCGACTTCAGCTCAGGTCATGATCTCATGGTTCGTGGGTTCGAGCCCTGCATCAGGCTCTGTGCTGACAGCTCAGAGCCTGGAACCTGCTTTGGATTCTGTGTCTCCCTCTCTCTCTGCCCCTGCCCAGCTCACACTCTGTCTCTGTCTCTCTCAGAAATAAAATAAAAAACGTTAAAAAAATTTTTTTTTAAAAATGTGCAGAATCTCAATCAAGCACTTATCAACACAGAGAGCATCACAGTAAAATCAGTATATGGTTAAAGATCCACATTCAAGGATGAGTTATTAGCAACTAACCATTACGACTAACATTTCCCGGGCGATGACTTCGTACCAAGCACAGCTCTAGAACTTTTCTTTTATTGTCCCATTATTTTTTAATTATTTTTAGTATTTTTTTAAATCTCATTTAACCTTCATAACTACCACTCCATTAATGAGGATCTCCACCTCCCGGGTGAGGGGACTGAGGGACAGACTGGTTAGGGCAGGTGACCCGCAAGGCAAGCCCTCTGACGGACAAGTGGCAGAGGTGGGCAGGGCCCCATAATTTGAGCGGTTCTGCTACCGCTTGCCCTGTACAATGTCAGGTTAAAGATGAAGGTTGTACGGGTTTTTATAACATTCCCTTTTTTATCGGTCTGCTATCTAGATCACAGTAAAACAGATATGTACCAGTTTCTTCATAGAGATGGTGAGACCTGTGCCCTTCACTTCATGTCCCCTTGCAGAAGAAAATTCTCACAGAGGCAGGGGGGCTGTATTAGTTCCCTAGGGCTGCTGTAACTAACAAAGCACTGCAAACAGGTGGCTTGGAATGACAGAAATTTCTCGTCTCACAGATCTGGACGCTAGAAATCTGAGATTAAGGTGTGGGCAGGGCTATGACCCCTCTGAAGGCGCTAGGGAAGATCCATTCTAGGCCTTTCTCCTAGCTTCCAGTGGCAGAGCTCCTGTCTTCACATGGCCTTCTCTTGGGGTGCATGTGTATCTCTGTGTCCGAATGCCTCCCTTTTAATAAGGACCCAGTCATAAGTGGATCAGGGCCACCCTAAAGACCTCATTTTCACTTGATCACCTCTGTAAAGACCCTATGTCCAAAGAAGGTCACATCCTGAGGTGGGGTGGCGTCGGGGGAGGTTAGGACTCCAACCAATCT